TTTGATAAATATCACAAAATGTAGGGTAGACTCCGTAACGCCACAATATAAAATGGCGGTACGTGGACAGAGTCGTGGCATTCCGTGTCAGACAGTCTTTCCGTCCGTCTCAGTCAGTGAGTCTCTGACAGTCAGTCAGTCAGTCAGTCGGTCTGTCGGTATGTGGAACGAAACTGTCGGTTTATCCTGTCATTGTGAAAGTTGTGTGTGTTGAGTTTCAATAATTATTATTCAAAAGGTTTTATTGACTTTTTATAAACTGAGTTCAACCAAACACGAGTGATGACGGAAACTATCGCTTTGCCATCCCTGGCGCCGCACCGACACATATATATATAAAAATGAATTGGTGTTCGTTAGTCTCGCTAAAACTCGAGAACGGCTGGACCGATTTGGCTAATTTTGGTTTTGAATTATTTGTTGAAGTCCAGAGAAGGTTTAAAAGGTAGATTAATATGAAAATGCTCGGAATTAAATAAAAATAACAATTTTGTTTTCCCTTTGATGTGTCCCCCGTCGGACGGATTCCTTTTGTTTGTTTTAAGTTTGTTTTATACAAAAGTTTAGGTCTTTTATTTATCGATTGAGGCACTACCAAGTCTGCCGGGTCAGCTAGTTTAAAATGAAATCACTATTAATATTTGCGCGAAACACATTCCTATATCGTTCTGATGTACACACGGATTTCCGTTTTCTTGAACGAGAGAATGCAATTAGTAAAATGGGACGTGCGCAATTACATACATATGATATACATAATATGATCCAACCAGTTGTTATTCGAAAGCATATCCCGTTTATTACAAACTAGCGACCCGCCCTCGCTTCGCTTCGGAAACATTAAAACACATAAGAAACCAAAAAAAAAAAAAAAAAAAGTAGCCTATGTTCATCAGGGACAATGTCGGCTTCTAATGGAAAAAGAATTTTTCAAATCGGTCCAGTAGTTTCGGAGCCTATTCGAAACAAACAAACAAACAAACAAATCTTTCCTCTTTATAATATTAGTATAGATCACAAGTCTTGTCAAACTTCTGGTCTAGTCAAGTCATATTTTAATTAATAGTCGGATAAACATTTTTTTCTACAATCGCTTCAACTTGCGCTCAGAATCCGAAAACCAGTGTGCTTAGTGCAAGTTTTTTAACGTTTTCGATAGTGTAAAAGTTAGCCCAATTTTGTATGGAATTGGAACAGCGCCCCTAGCGGCAAGCGTAGGCAAACAATCCCATTCCATACAAATATGAGTTAACTTTTACGCTATCGATAACGTTAAAAAACTCGCACTAAGGACACAGACCCGACTGGATTCAAGATTGATTTGACAAAACACTGTTCAATTTGAACTAGGTACAAGTTTAATTCCACTTAAACTGTTAAATCTATTTAAATGTTCTGAAGGAACATTCGAGTACTATTAAAAATGTTTATTAATATTCTAACTGCAATGCAGACACAGGCAGCATTGCATAATTCATTGCCTGTGTAATGAAGGTTCACCGATTTAATTATTTTTCAGCAACTATGCGCGGTAAAGTTGCTTTTGACTCGAATAAAACAAACTTCTATCGTTCTCTGGTTCACGAACTACGGTTATTCTAAAGTTAAGATGCCACCACTACAAGCTATGTTTCAATAAAATGTTTAATTACATTTTCTCTGTTTTCTCATTTCATTCGTAATTTAATTTAGTCATTGAAATTTGCTCTGCGGCGCTAATAGCTTCGCTGGGTATTTGAACAAATAAAATACGAAAATATAGTTGATTGAGAATTAAAGATATATGTAAATTGCATTTTACATACCTCAATGAAGAGTTTAAAAACAATATTATGATTAAGAAAAGGTATAAAAATCGGGTGGCGTTGAAACATTGTATTAGCATATAAATTTTTTAATGTAGTGTTTTCCATATCAATAAGCAAAAAAAAATTTTTTTCAGATTCAATAACAAAGATAACCTTATCCGATCCAAACAAAAAAGAAAATCGGCATTAATTAACATTTCCTACTTTGATTTCGTCAGAAGTTGAGGTTAATTACGAGACACATGCTTAATTAAGCACAGGACACTTAATCGATCGTTGTATTGTTCAAGCACTTAGCAGTTTAATGGTCGTTACTGTATGCTCAAATAAGCATAACTAATCGAGCGTGAACTCATAAGTGTGCGAATCATTTGAATAACGTACTATAAATTCACTGGACTATCGCCTTATTTAATTACAATACAAAACTTCACGCCATTTTGACTTGATTCAAAACTTTTATTCCTGAAAGAAATAGATTATTAAAAAAAAAAAACTTTAAAGTGAAAACAAAGTATCGATTTTGCAACCGGTTTTAGTTATTAAGTTTTAACTTAAACTATGTTTTTTATTCGCTATCTATTCTCTGGCAGTCCAAGGGACTATTCCTCCTACGCTATGGCTAGTAGGTGAGCTCACGCGGCTCAACCTGAGAGAGTTTGCTAACATTGGCCCTAGCAAGAGTAGTGCTTCACAGAATCTACCACCGGATCGGAGTCGTGATCCACTGAGAAGATCCGGTGAGAAACTCAGTGGGTTGCATCTATGGAATTTAAACACTAATTGGTACTTGAAAACCGTCAGTCAGTGTGCACGAATTGCAAATGAATTGCTTTCATACATTTACGTCCAAAAACAGCGAATAATAGATCTGTCATTGTAGCGATAGTCATCATAGAACACACAAGATATATGATAAATTCTTAAATATCGCTAACTACAATTTCCGAACAACAACGTTCAAACCGTCTACTGAATAATTTCAGCCGCTTGGTGAAAGATCTTCCCTTTGTCGTATTCCTCAAAATCAATAACGTTTATCTTATTTATGAATGATAATATGTAATCATATTACATTTGTATTGAATTACATATTTTCTATTACAATTTAGAATTTAAATCACCTAGTTCCGGTGGGAATGTTCAAAATTTTAATAAACAATAATAAGATACCTATTCAATAGTAAGCTTGTCGTTTTAGATTTCTCCCGGGAATAGTTTTAGAATTGAAACTCGGTTGGAATGTTCATTTTAATGATTGTCAATCAACGTCTTTCAAATCGGATAGTTCTAACAGGGGACTAAACGTTTAGTGACGGTGTATTCAATTTGAATGGTAAAGGGAAAGTTTAAAGCAATTGTGACTTTGAAATCATGTTTTATATTTATTTTCATAGCTTTGTGGTCCATTTGGTCGTGAATTCGGTCAAAGATGAATTGTAATTAAATGCTACCAACTTTGACAAAGAAATGTAGGCTAACCCTCATGTCTAAAGAATGAAACCTTCACGCTATTGTATTAATGAGCCACTTAATATCATGTGCATCTTCAGATATGACGCTGGTCATCACTAGCGTAGCAAGGCCCATTGCTGTTAAAAGCGATCCTACTTCCGTCTGTACAAGTAAAGAATATTTGTTTTCACATTTAATTTTTTTTCCTAAGATGGGTATACGAGCTCACAGCCCACCTGGTGTTAAGTGGTTACCAGAGCCCATAGACTCTACAACGTAAATGCGCCACCCAGCTTGAGATATAAGTTCCAAGTCTCTGTATAGTTCCAATGGCTGCCTCGCTCTTTAAACCGAAACGCATTACTGCTTCACGGCAGAAATAGGCAGTGTGGTGGTGGTACCTACCCGTGCGGACTCACAAGAGGTTCTACCACGAGTAAATTCAACGTTTTTGTTTTCTTTTACAGTGCCTGTGAGGATGTAGAAGAGATGTGTGCGCCGGCAACGGCGGCTCTTTTGATCGCCGCACTCGCTGCCTTGCCCTGTCGAGGTAATAATTAAAGTCTGAGTTATTGGTGGGAGCGCGAGAAGCAAAATAATGTAATTTTTTTTTCTCATATAACACTGAAAAACACACAAACATATAATACTGGTGGCCTATTCATCGCTTACAATCTGTTAATGTGTACAAGTATAGGAAATGAAAGAGAGTCGATTCATACAAAAACCTCACTGAAGTCATTTGATTGGACTTAATTTCATTCTATTTCATCATATCTCTTTTCATTCGGTTTCAACCAATTGAATATTAATTTCAAGTCGATCAATTTCAAGTGTGTATCGTTCCATGGTGAAATGTCACGACTAAATATGTGTTCATGCCAAATTTAATAGCTATCGCTTTACCAAGGTCGCTATGAGCTGTCAAAGTTCGAGCGTCCCTATTGAAAAACCCTATAGTATATCAATTCCATTGGGACTGATATACTATAAATGGGTATATCAGTTCAGTTCAGTATCACGGTACACGAAATCCGAGGTTGGAGTCAAATCCTAGTGGGTTATTAGTCCCAAATAATTTAATTGTACATATAATTATTATACTGTTAAGGAAACGAATGGTGTGAGAGTGGAAAGGTGGTAGGACGTCTTGTGAGTTCGCACGAGTGGGTACCAATACCCTGCCTATTTTTGCCGTGAAGCATTAATGCGTTTCGGCCTGAAGGGCGGGGCAGCTGTTGTACTGTTAAAAGTGAAACCTTAGAACTCATATCTTAAGGTGGGTGGCGGCATTTATGTTGTAGATGTCTATGAGCTCTGGCAACCACTTAAAGTCATATGGGCCGTGAGCTCATCCACCCATATAAGCAATAAAAAAAACGAAAATTTTAAAGTCAGGATTTTAAATATTTCTAGTAGTAGTACTCAATTAATTACATTTTGCTATTACAAAACTTAGCTATTCAGTGTAACGTCGATTAATTGTTACACAATAAATAGAGTATTTTAGTTAAAATAACATCTTGATTGTTAGTCTCGTCTGGATGCGAATTTACAGAATTGTTTTGTATCAAAGGGTCCTTGAGAACGTTCGAACGTTTCAAAATATTTTCATAACGCGCTTCCAGAAAATTAAATTTCAAATTCCTTTGGGCTCCGGACTTGTATTTCTAAAGTGCCCTTATTATATTTTAATTCTTGAAAGATACTCAAACATTTTTAATTAGTCTTTCCGGGTGCTTCTTTTGCGTAATCAAAAGCGAAGTGTATTCTAAACGAACCCTTCCAAGTATTACTTTCAGTTGAAATATTGTTCGTCTAAATCAATAGAGGATGCTATTTTTGTCGATTTCTTTATTTACATTTGCGTCCCATCCATTACTATTGATGCCATATAAATTTCGTATTTACTTACGGTATGAAAAAATTGTTTAAAATATTCTACAGTTTTTCTTGTTTATCTCTAGAAATGCACAAATGTTTTTCTTACACAATTATTTAAAAGATCGCAACATGCGGACTTACAATTCTCTCTACAACCCTAAAAGCTTATGAGGTGGTACTCCATTCCTAGCGTAACCTCCTTACCTCACCGTATACCTTTCTAGGTTCCCACATTAGTTGCTATGACCAGTGTACTAATTATTAAAAGAACCAAATACAAATTTACTTTAGTGAAACCATAAGACAAAACAATAAAATTGAAAGCTTTTCTTTCTCATTAAATGAATTTCATTCGCAACCCACAACGAACCTTCGCCAGATTCAATTTTCTTCGAAAATGAAATCGAAACTATTGTTTATTGAAGCTAAAATTTACATACAATTTTCAGGAACCGACGCCAATGGTTCCACTGTACTGAACGAGGCCAATAACTTACAGCAGGCCGACTCCCAGCCGACTATAAACAGACTGTACCAAATGCTCCACGCCAAACCAGACTCACACAATCAAAGCCAGCTATACGACAATTCAAATTACTCTAGACTTAATCTAATACACAGTTTTAACTCGTACAGCAATCTTGGGACAGTTAAGAGTCAAGTTGACTTGAATATTGATGACTTTAAACCCAAAGCTAATAATGTCAGCTTTGAGGGTACCCACCTAACTAATAATTATGGTATGGGCAAGAGGAACAGAAAGAGGGGGATAGTGAACATAATTCGGATTGATGAGGTAACCAGCGCTATCAGTATTGAAACTACAACTATGGCCCGCGTGTCACCTTCACCTGTTGCTATGGAACGAAAGAAGAAACCTGGAGAAATAGGATCAAGCGCTCCATTACTGAATTACATATTCGACGCTTATTCAAATACACATCACCATAGGAATGAGAAGTGAGTATATATATTTTTTTGTATTAATTTTATTTACATAATGTATTTCTTTTTTCTTGGTACAAATCCTGCACATTTACCGAAAGAATATGTCACGCCGGTTTGCTATTTCATAGGCGCGATTTTAGTGAAGATTAACTTTTTTAAATAATTATTCCCATTAATGATCAGATTTTAGGGGAAGTTTAAATTTTTGTGTAAGCTCTTGATGGGTTGATCGTATGAAACGCATGAATACAAACTGTGGCGGTTAGGGTACATGGCTTGGTCGACCAACGAAACATTGCCTGGTTAGGGCAAGAAGGATGTCGTGGAAATAAAATAGTTTACCTTACGGAATTAACTGCCTTTTATTTTTTATAGGAATGAATTAGCCGTTCTTGTTAAAATTGTGATTAATACCTAATAGGCTATCGTTGTACTACTATATTCTTCACATGTGCCATGCAAATACCCACAATTTGGTAAAAAATTAAACACACTATTTCATCAACAAATAAAGCATACACTTAAATAAGCCCGTTAAAACTTAAAGTTATTGCAATGGTTTCAAACCAAAAAGGTCACGATCAACAAAATACTTTTCTGAATAATCTACATGGTCATGAAATACAGGGTAAAGTTTTTTTAAAGTCACAACTCAACAAGTAGACAAAGTTCAGAACAGAAAAGCCTCCTTAGCCTTTACATCAAGTAATACTTAAAACAATATTGATTTATGGTTAGAAATTTTAGCCGCATTCAGAATATTTCAAGAACTCGTTCAACATCAACAGAATGAGGCGAGCACGATAAAGTTTAAACCACTTTTCGGATTGTTGCGCACAGAAATGTTCGTTTTCCAGTAAATATTTTCCTATTTCGGCTTATGATTATTATACCAATCATATCTGTGGCTTTCTGGGGGCTTTTCCACGCTATTTAGTAATTAATTTTTCGTTGAGTTTCAGAAATAGTCTTATCTTACACTTTGATTACAAGTGTAGTTTCATCATTTCATAGTCTAAAGAGTACTTAGAATTGTGTTTTTATTTTCATTGCTTAGACGAGTCAATGAGCTTGTGGTTCACCTAGTGTTAAATGATAATCGGAGCTCATCAGTTTTTTCTTCTTCTCAGTCGTGTCACTCTTGACAGAGTGGTCGTGGTCGTTATGTAGTGTTGAAAGGGGCAGACTTGATGCGTCTCACGATGTCGCGCCATCTCTCCCTGCTCCGAGGCCATTCTACTGCACTCATTTAGGGAACCTCCCACTGCAGTTTTAATTTGGTCGGTCCACCGCATTGGTGGTCTCCCATAAGTATCCCAACGAAAATGCCACCTTGCGGCTTGAGGTCGAAGTCTCAACTTTAGTTCAGTGACTATCCTATTTTTCAAATCAGAAAGCATGATTTGCGGCAAAAAGAGAGCGAATAGGTTTTTTTATTACCTCAAACTATTCGTGAGAACTGTATTATCGGTAATCCAACGGACCCCTTCTCTGTGGAATAAAATGGATGTAGCTCATATTTAGGACCCCCGGCCAGGTGAGAGCAGTTTTCCACACAAGGCCGGTCCGTTTTTTTCTAAAATAGAAACAAAATTAAAACGGTCTGGTACTGAGCTTTGTTGAAATCTCTCAACATTTTAGAACCCAACTTGGATTTTTCTAGTTGTGCGGCTTAAGTATCTCAAGTATTTTTACCCTACCCGCAGTAATTTAGAAAATTACAAATTTTGAAGTATTATGTTATTTTTGTTTTTATTACACAATGCTATTATCCCTTAACGTAGAATTCGCTCGTAAGCACGTGTTAAAAATGTTTTTCTTATAAAAATTAATACATGCCTGTGGGATTTGAACTCTAGCATTTTCGTCTCACTTGATACAAGCACATAGGGTGTTTAGTCTCTTAATGTCTTTTCATGACGATTAAAATGCAAGAAGGATTTGTTTGATTAAGCTTTTTCGAATTTTTTCTTTATCTTTTCACTTCTAATGACGTTTTCTTTGACGCCATGCAAATATAAAAGCATATTTTTTTTAATAAATAGGCAGCTCTTCACTTGCTAAGAAATCCAATTGATTCTTAGAAGTAACCAGCTGTACTCTGGTACAAAAATTTAATATTATTAAAAACCTATCTCAGAGGTTTTATAGTTCATAATTAGAAATCCAAGCATGAAAGCAAACTAAAATAATAAAAACAATCTGGGTGCAATCTAGCATGGGGTGTGTAACCATGAATTAAGGCATTCCATAACTCCCGCTACCTCATATAACATTTAGCAGGCAACAATGAGCAAACAAATTCACGGCTCATCTGGAGTCAATCGACACCGAAATGTGAAACCTACAATACATAAATAACCCAAACAAAAAATAATGTATGAGTTAAATAAAAATACAAAAACACAAATTAAAAATTCACTTGCAACAGAAATCGCAAGTTTGAATAGAAAAAATGCATATAACAATTTATGTATGTAACTGCTGATTTTACACAGAACTGGTGATGGAAACAGCATATATGCTGCTGCAGCACCGGAGATTGAAGCTTTAGTTGGCTCTACTGCTCATCTTGACTGCAAAGTAGACGCGCTACACGATAAACTGGTAATAAGTATGTTTCATTGTTCATGAAATAGGACCTTTTGTACTCTGTGTCCTTCTACAAAATTTAATGATCATAAATCTAAATAACATCGAACTATTTTATCTCTTGTTACTAACCAATTAAATATTATTTCTTCAAATTAATTTCTTTTTACATATTTGATAGAAAAAATAAGAAATAATTTTTGGACAGTAATTTCAATCAGTTTGTGTTTTATTAAAATTAAACTACTTCAGATAATTAAAAGGTCCACACGTAAGTATTACGAACATTTATAATTCTTATTACAAATGTTCGTAATTGCCAAATTAACAGTTAGTTGCCTTTCGCAAAATCCAATCCGAGCTCCCAATTAAATTAAATCTTGTTAATTCAATTATTTGCTTAGTGACTGCCGTGATTCTAATTATGATGACTGTCATGATTCTAATTATATTATTGCGAATTCGAGTGGATTTTATTGCTGTACAACAAGAACCAATTACCAATTGAAATATCAAATATTAATAATTGTGTCTAAAGTATGTGTTGTTATTTGTGAAGATAGAAACATATATATATATCGTGTAAATTTATTTTTGAATAAAGTAGGTTATTGCTATTCATTTGAAAGAACAAGTGAGCTTAAAATGTAATCATGTTGATTCGCTTTTAAGTTCAAGTCGTCCTTATTATGCTATTGAGTCCTTATTATACTAATGACAATAATCCTGGGTTAATAAAATTTTGCATTTAATGAACGCATATTTGGAAAAGAGCAAGCCTTGATTTTCTTGCCGATCTTTTGAGTGGTGATGCTACATTCCAAATCGGCGGGAAATTCATGGTGGCTTAAAAACGTTCGTGTAGACCTAAACAGATTTAAATAATAACTATCTATTTAAATTTGGGTAGACGATTTTATACCTTTTGTTGATCCGATTTAGAAAACAGCGTCTGTTTTCTCAGTAACATGGTTAGAGATTTGGATATTTTTCAGGTATCATGGGTCCGCCGGAAAAGCGACGAGGACCCAATGGAACTCCTCACTACCGGCACCCAACAATATACAGCGGATGACAGGTACACATGATCATATATTTTTAACAAATTAGGATAATCTAGTACTGAACGCAGCCCGTAGACATCTTCAGTGTGAATGTTGTCAACTACCTTTAGACATCGAAGATTTTTTATTTATTGCTTAGGTGTGTGGACGAGCTCACAGCCCACCTGGTATTAAGCCGTTACTGGAGCCCATAGACATCTACAACGTAAATGCGCCACACACCTTGAGATATAAGTTTTCAGGTCTCAGTATAGTTACAACGGCTGCCCCACCCTTCAAACCGAAACGCATTACTGCTTCACGGCAGAAATAGGCAGAGTAGTGGTACCTACTCGAGCGGATTCACAAGAGGTCCTACCACCAGTAATTACGCAAATAAAAATTTTGCGGGTTTGATTTTTATTACACGATTTTATTTATTCCTTCACCGTGGAAGTCAATCGTGAACATTTGTTAAGCATGTATTTCATTAGAAAAATTGATACCCGTGTGCGGGATTCAAACACCGTTGCATCGCTAGATACGAATGCACCGGAAGCCTTATCCTTTAGGCCACGATGACTTGCCTATTTGTTGCCTATTTTATGGCCTAAGATTTTTGACCACGATGATTTTTTATTAAGACGTTGGAATAGAAAATATGCAGAATGGCGGTACTGAGCGGATTCATAATATGACACCCAACCGGCTTCGATAGAAAACGTTTTTAGAGCAACTTTTCTAATACGGGAAATTTAAGGCAAACGTTGAACGCACATGAAGCTTAGAATTTTTTAATAGGTAGAACTTTAAAAAAGTCTGTACTAAAAAAAAAACGTGAAATTTCAGTAATAAAGGACTTTCAAATAGTTTACATTTTGAATTCTTATTTTATCCACATTTTAATCTGATCCAATCGAATTGTTAATAAATTTTGAAAAACAAAAGTTTTCGAATTCCATTTTCTTTATCAGCATTTCATTCCGTTTCATTTCTCTTATTCCTTCTAAAAGCTTAATCTTAACGTTCGTAATGGTTTTACGATATTTATGGCTCTAATCATGATTATTATATTAAAAATATCGTATGATATCTGTGCATAGGGTCTAAAGTGTAAGACGCTTGGTGTACTTCTCTCAAACAATACGACTCTGTCCTTGTTCAATTCCAACAATGGTTACCAAAATAATTAAAAGATAAATATTTAAAGAGTTTGAAGTTTACTGACATTGATTTTAAATTACAACGCGCGGTATAAGCGTATCCCAAAAAAACATCAGTCACAACCGTTATGTTATAAACAGATCCTGTATTAATTAATAAGTAAAAAGAGTAGATGTTTTAGATAATTTCATTAAGACATATCCTTTCAACGAAAATTGTTTTCAAAGGTTTGCGTGATTCGAAATAAGTTTGTTTAAATTCAGGTTACATTGTTGATAATTGATACAAGAAATATAGAATATGTTACTAGCACATTGTTACTAAAATGAAAAATATAATAACAATTTTAACATTTTGTTTACAATTTTATCCGACCGGTCACCGTTTTCGTCGAGTTAGTAGAATGAAAGAGATTCCCTTATAATTGAGTCGACTATTATCAAAGCCGGCAATGTGACTTTTGGACAATTATTGGTAAATCAGAAAAACGAATTATTGACTTTGTATTCCATTGGCAGTCACAAGAACTCTTCTGAACGACATCTTAGATAAATAACAGGTTAAGTATTAACCTTTATTTAATGCAGGTTTTGAACCGTATTCTTTGAAGTAGACGATTATATCCAAATCAATCTGTATTGATATATCAATAAATTTTTTTTGTCCAAACGCACAGATTGCCACCTTTGATAATAGACGACTCAATTATCGTATTTCACAATTTCAATTGTACTGTTACTGTTTTTCTTATCATGTCATGAATAGGAAATTTTTTATCTGGGACAGAGTCCAACAAAATGTGTTTTTTTTTTATTATTTTGATTTTTTGTTATTGGGGTGCAATTGTGATCCAATAAAATCTAAGCTGGAAACTATCATTATTTTCTAATTTTAAATTTGTAATGTGAATATTATTGTGTGAGTATTATTGTTTGTAACGACTTCTTCCGTTATAAAAAGTTCAGGTGCCTATAATTAAATAAATAAATAGTATTATATTATGTGAAATATGTTTTTATAAGAGTTTTCTTTTAATGCGTAAATCCATTTTTTGGGTTCCAATGACATTAAAATCGTTATTTGATAAGATAAAACAATGTTTTGAACAGCTACATCCCAAAAATACTTCCCTTAGGTACTCGGCCCGCTTCATCCCACCAGATATATGGCGTCTCGAAGTGAGGGAAGTCCGTCCCACTGATGCAGCTCACTACGACTGCCAATTGTCTGCCCACCCTCCTAGAACCGCGAGGGTAACATTAAAGGTTCCCGGTAAGTACTTTGAACTATTTTATTGTATTAAAAAATAACTGTTTAGTTGAAATCATTTTTGACGTGACAATGTCTTATAATTCGATGGAGCCGGCTGCACGCACGAAAAAACATAACTCATTGAAGCGTTCCATTCAAGGCTTGAAGTGCAAGCGAGAGCGCGCAACGAGCGACAAAGAGGCACAATCGGCCTCTGCGTTCAGCAGCGATATCTGTCTCTCTCCTACTTGAGTGAGCGATGCATCCGCGTGGACAGCTGCTATACAATGATACACTAATTACATGTTTTCGTCAAGTATGAAGTTCAGTGAAAAGTGAATGTGGTGTCAATTGTCCATACAAAATATCTATCAAACAAATAAAATTAAAATTTTCTTTTGAAAAATGAAACCATTCCATCAGTATTTTCTTATGACGTTGTCATGTTCAATTATCGTCAGTAAACCGACTTTACAGACAACCGATATATTTTTTTGTAAGTAGCCATTGTTTATACTGATTACGAAAGACCAAATCGAATCGATGGCTCTTGTGGTTTTTTTTGGGTTAATAAATTACCTTTTTCTGCCTGGGCTAAGTCACTTATTCCGGTTGATTAGGTAGGGTAGCCATAATTCCATCGCAATAGAGATTGACCTCGCGCGATAGCAACTTGAACGCTGATCTAATACCAAGATATACATATCTGCAATTTTCTACAGAAGTATCAGTGACGATCGTGGATGGCGCTGGTGCGGCCGTATCTGAACAAGTCTGTGAAGTTAGCAGTACTGTGGCTTTACGCTGCGAGGTTAAGGGCTTGAAAATGGAAGGTGGCCCCTCGTTGCTATGGTACCGGAAAGATGACTTGTTAAATGATGACACTACTAGGGGGGGCATCAGGTGAGAACTTGAGTCAGACACTAAGCGAAAAATATTTAAAATATCTACTGATAATAAATAAATAAATATTTACTAACAATCACGCCACGTTAACTGGTCCCGTGATAAGTTCGTAAAGAACTTGTGTTACATGTACCAGATAACGGAAATAAATGTAAGATTTTTATTATACACATACATATATTTAATATACATCCATAACCCTGGAAAAGACATTTATATTTATCATACAAATATCTTCCCTTGGCGGGATTCGAACCCGCGACCCCCTTGTGTAGTGACCATGTCACTTACCACTACACCAGACGGCCGGTATCATTCAATGGCATCGATGAAACTTCACGGTTGAACCTCGTGTATTAAGTTTTCATTTAATTATTTAGCAACGCTCTGAATACTTTGTAGTTTTCCTAATGACGAACGATTATGATATTATTACCAGAACTACTTACTACTACTAGCTATTGATCTTAAGGCTTCGTTAGTGATTTCTGGTGTCTATAAAATTGACTTTTACTGTAACTGCTATAATATACATATCAACGCTTGAAAGGCAAACGTGACTAAGCGGCAATAGCTGCTTTGTACATAAATGATAGGCAATAACCATATTCGATGCGCAAAATATATATATTTCTAGGTCTATTAAAATCATTTCAATCCTACAGCTACTAGCTAGATTCTAATACAGCTAGATTCGTTAAAATATCTCTTTTTTTCAGGTATTTCAACTTTAAATTAGTTTACTGTAAAGTTCACGCATTGTCGCTTAGTCACGTTTACCTTTCAAGCGTCGATATATAACACGCGAAGAAAAAACATTAAGCTTAGAACAAAGGAACATAACGTAAACAAGTTTTCACATTGTCAATGTGACACCGTCAGCGCAAAATTAGCCTAAGTTTATCATAGTACGGAAATAATGAGGTTTGAATCATAGGTTTGAATTTACTTTTACATTGCTTCGTTGACAAATACAATACGCGCCAAAATAAGTTTTTACAAAGCCATCTGTTATCTATGGGTCAAACTAAGGATAGGCCGGTTTTGTATCAAAATTGATTATGTTTTAAATACATTGCATTATCTAAGCACGAATATGAAAATTTGTGGATTAGGTCACTTTGGTGCTGACGGCCTCAAATGCTCTAGAGTCTAGGCAGTAGTGGCACTGTTCTATATACTATCAGAAGACAAACCTACCCTTTTTTTAATACTCTTTTGTTAGATTCAGACGTATGTATGTAACAGAATCTTTGAAGATGATTATGACCCCCTTCAAAACGTCGAATTAACTCGAAATTTGGTGTACTTATTAAGGGTTGATGACAATTCAATATTAAAAAAAAACTTGAAAAAGAAAAAAATATTTTATTGTAAAAAAGCGTGAGGACTTTTCAGGATATTATTAAAATAACGCTTTTACTCATATCTGTTCATAAAATATTTTTAACTAATGACCATGCGCCCCACGCTTTTTTTACAATAAAATATTTTTTTCTTACACTATTTTTAATTCAAATTTATTAAAATTTATTTTCTATTTTTTAGTTGGATTTTCTATAAAAGCGTTTTATAAATTTTTTTTAAACTATTATTTATTTCTTCTCCGCTTTGTTAATGCTATAATTATGACTACATCTGACTACATAAACAATTTGTATTCTTAGTGTCCGCACGGAGTTCGGTGCAAACGGTGCTAGTTCCGTGCTCCGCGTGGCCCGCGTGCGAGCTGACGACGCTGGTCGGTACACGTGTACAGTGGCCAGGGCGCCGCCACCAGCACCATTACCGGCACATGTCATATTGCATGTCATTAAAGGTACCCACGTACCTACTCCCGTGATACGGTTCGAACAGAGTTCATCTTCACCGCCGGTATTCGTTAGTGAGCATTTCAAGACGAGCTGCTTGTGTACAAAATAATTTCAAAACAATTATGTAGATTGAGTTTGTTCGTTTTCTCGAGATTCGGTCAGCGAATAAATATTTAAATTCCCAATGATTTGTACCTACGAATACTCGCGATGAAAACGCATACATTTTGTCAAAAAAAGATGTGTGTTGTCGTGGGACACCGGATAGGAATGAAGTTCCTTATTATAAAAATATACGTTATTACAAAGTTAAGTCGTACACTGTGTGCATTACTAATAAAAATCTTACGTTACGGACGTTTTTGCCCGGTTAGGGTACCCCTCCGCGTCGTCCCATAAGGAACTTCGCTCCAATAATATATATGTATATATAGTGACTGTTTATTTTTATTTTTATTGCAACTAGCAAACTTAGAATCCAGAATATTAAATGAGTTCCTCTTCTGTAGGTGAGAGTCTTGCAGAGCTGCATCAAAGTGGAAACTCGTGTGCCGCATCCAAGCTAATCATTACGACGCTATGCGTTCTTTTAGAAGTATTATCGTAATTTAATAAAATAAAACTTGTTCATATTTTTACGGTTGTTTAATTAATTGTAGACTTATTATTATTTAGGATATAAGTTTTAATCAAGCAAAACCTAATTGGAGAAATCGATTATACAAATGAAATCCTTTTCTTACATTTCTTTAGGATATAATTCGTCGTGGCCTAAAGGATAATACGTCGGGTGCATTCGTATCTAGCGATGCAACGGTGTTCCAATCTTGCAGGCAGGTACCAATTTTTCTAATGAAATATAATACGTACTTAACAAATGTTCACGATTGACTTCCATGGTGAAGGAATAACATCGTGTAATAAAAATCAAACCCGCAAAATTATAATCGTGATTACTGGTGGTAGGACCTCTTGTGAGTCCGCACGGGTAGGTACCACCACCCTGCCTATTTTTGCCGTGAAGCACTATAATGCGTTCCGGTTTGAAGGGTAGGGCAGCCGTTGTAACTATACTTGAGACCTTAGAACTTATATTTCAAGTTGGATGGCGCATTTACGTCGTAGATGTCTATGAGCTCCAGTAACCACTTAACATCAGGGAGGGCTGTGAGCTTGTCTACCCAACTAAGCCATAAAAAAAAAGTTTTGTGTGACTCAGGGGCCCAAAGAGATCAACGAGAATCACCTATTATTTAATACTATTACCCAGATACTTGCAAATACTTCGAGTTGCATAATACCAGCATAAAGAACAGCGAATAACATTCTTTTTCAAGAGCTTTATTCAATGAATTCAAGAACTGAATATTTTGTAGCAAATCCCCGTTGGTCTGTCTGCCTTTGGTTTATTTTAAGCTAGCACTACTCTTCTTTAAGTGGTCAGTCTTTTCTCACTTCTTTTTTTTATGATTGAAGGATTACTGGTGGCCCGGAGGCCTTTCCAGTTTCACCAGGACAGGTGGGCGAGCAAAGGCTCAGCCAGAAGGGGTGGGATTTGCTAACGGCCTTCGAACGGGGTGATGTCGACCTCCATCTCCGAGTCAGAGTCGGAGGACGAGAAGGCGGGCGCAGTTGACCTACGAGCAGGTGTTTTGGAGGGCACGACGGAGGCCGCGGATGATCGCGCTGCTGGAACGGTGGCCACGGCGGACGACGCAGCAGTTTTACTCGCCAGTATAGGCGACGCGGGAACGGCTGGCACGACGGAGGCTGCGGTGCTCGATGCAGATTCTCACTTCTAACACACCTCGATAAAAACGTCCAATATCCAATATTATTGATTTTTTTCACAATTATTTATATATATATAACACAAATTTGGTCCACTCGTTTCAAATGTCAACCATAATAATTGTATTATTTATATTATAGTGCTTTCAGTCAAGATCCGATGAGACAGATATAGAAAATTTACAATAGACATTGATATACGAGGGAAAGGAACAGGATTATCATCAACTTTAACTTATTATTAACTGTGAAGATTCGAAAATGACAGTGATACATACGTTGCAGATAGCGTAAAAATTCAAGCCTTCTTATAAAATATTCTCTTAGGCCGTATTGCTGAAACATATGGGAAACCTCTTTAACATTCCCCTAACTTATGGATGTCGATTTATAACCATAACAAGTTCAATCCGGGTCGATTTCCTTCCCATTATTCACCTCTTTACCGACTTAAATAATGCGGTGCAACAATGATGTCTGGAATGTCTTTGAAAGTTCCTCTTTTATATTTTTCACACGTGCGAGAGTTATTTCTTTTATCAAAGTTTTTTGAGGGAATTCATTTTACAGTTAATTGAATTCCCTCAAAAAATTTAAAAAGTAAATTACAATATTATACTATACAACATTAGATAAAAAGTAAAAATTAGAAAAAAGGAGCTTATTGAGATATTTAGATTAAGTCACAATAATTGGTACTCTTAAACTGTAAATTGGGAAAAATATTGGCCGTAATGCATTGATGATAATTACATTCCAACTTGACTTATTGTGTCCATATAAAACTCGTATTCGTATTTAATGTATTTCTTCGGTCATCGTACTCGTCGAACCCGTCGCTTGCGACGAAGGGCTCGACGAGTAAATTAGCCCTCAGACACAGCCCACTGAATTTCTCGTCGGATCTTCTCAGTGGGTCGCGTTTCCGATCCGGTGGTAGATTCTGCAAAGCACAACTCTTGCTAGGGTTGTGTTAACAACGTCGTCAGGTTTGAGTCCCTTGAGCTCATCTACTAGTTAAGGTTACGCTGAAATAGCCTCTCAAGGCTCTCAGCTTAGGTAGGAAAAAAATATGTTTTTCTTTCTGATGAGCTTTTTCTTGTGGATTTAGGCCTCTATCGCATTTTCTCCGTTGCTCTCTCCCATAGATACTTCTTTTCCTTTTCCTTGAGATATATTCCGAACAATCCGTTTAAAGCTTGTTGCGTCATTTTTTACTGTGGGAGGGTTCGCTTCAAAAAATCTAAACAACTATGCTTAAGCACTATCTAAAAATGTCTTGCTCACCTCACTCGTGGTCTATAGTTTTCTAACTCTGGTTTAATAAGACATGGTAAAATAGGAGGTGATTCAAATCTGAAGTAAGATAATACATCTTTTTGTCTCTTTTGAAAAGAATACAGAGAAATTAAAACATTTCCAATTTTTTTTTCTATGATTCGTTCTGGCCCTGTAGCCTTTCCAGTTTCACCAGGACAGGTATTTCCAAATGCTGTAGTATACGCTAGTATTGGTAGTATACGATAGTATTGGCAGTCATGACAATGGAATTTAGCAAACGTACCAACATAACGCCCGTAACTGGCATTTATCGGTGCTTCAGTCATTTGGCAACACACAGCGGTCATTTCAAATTAACACCTAATTTATCTGTTTGTGGATGTTGTGCCGAGTGGTACTTAGTAACATGATTGTGAACAGCTGACGTTACTATAGTAGTACTACTTGATTTGAATAGAGTAATCCGTGTGCAAACAATGTACGTACTGACAAAGGACTTTTTGCCGGGAATGCGAGTGAAGTTTTATGATTTGTTTTATTTTTATGTATTTATTTTGTCCATTTAGTGTTTCTTTAGGTTTAAATGTGTATTATCAGTGGTTAATTAACTGTTTAATATCTGTGAAAGTGCACAAATGTGGGAAAATGAAATAAAGCCGCTGGACGTAACTTCTCGGGATCCTCCAAAAAGTCCATTGAAAAAATCTCAGTAAATGACCACCATTTTACTGAGATTATATTTCATCCCATATCATCTCATCTCATTTCATTTATTTTCATCCCAGTTGATCTCAAATTAATCATCTTCATTTCGTTTCGTTTCATTTCACTCCATATTATCATTTTTCATAAAAATTAGAATATAAATTAAAATAAGATATGACTTAAAGGTCTTAGTTACCAGGTCATAAAATCCCTTAAAAAAAGTACTGACAAAGTATGCGCAATTATTACTTTAACAAGGCCTATTATAGGTTTATGATGGCCTTAAAACAGAACAGGGCTGATTTCGATGACGACTCGATACAGATTATAATTAATTGAATTTCATAATTATGGCCACATTTAAACTGAACGAATTCGATGTCGCCTGTGCCGTGCGTTTTATGTTAAGAAAATTGCTCAAATAGAGAAAACTTTATTTCATTTTCTTAATTATAAACACAGAGTGAATAGAATTTTAAGTAGTCTGTTTTACAAAGCTAGCTAATATAAAGAGCTAGAGATATGTTTCTAAATTAGTTGTTTATATATGACAGCAGGAGAGACAATAATTTTTTTTTTTCTATTTAGCGATATAGATATCTTCTTCTTTTATCTAAAAAAAAAGGCTTAATTGGAATTTTTAATCCTAAAATTTAGACCGTGATAGAATGAGAGCAAAAATAAATGATATGAATAATAAAACACGGGATAAACACGAGTACATATTTGTTTTCAATTCATCAAATAAAATTACAATTCCATCACGAAGTTAAAAAAAAAATCGCACTTACAAATCGAAAGTGTGCTTGCGTAACACGTGTTGCGATGAAAACATACTCGTGAAAATGAGTTACGTATACACGTTCAAATAAACACCGAACACAAACGGTACCGTTCTCACGAATTTGCCGAAATAAATAAATACCAGAATTTATGACGGGGTCACCAATCGAGAAACACACGTTTTTTCTTCCTCTTTGAAGTCAACACCGTTAAAATAAGGTTCAATAGCAAAGCACCCTGTTATTATTCTAAATGCGAGGCGGAGAGACCATTAATCTATTCGCTAACTCGGAGGGGAAATTTCGGAAATTTCACACTAGAACTGCGTTAGAATAATAGATGGATTCTACAGGATTTCCATATTTATGAGTTGATTGGGGTTTCGTTGTTCGGGCTCCTGTATTGACGATGTATTACCTCAGTGTTTTGTTTGGGCTTCGAGATTTTGATAGAATTGGCAGTGCCCTGTGTATTGTTTTTAGGTACCACAAGTACCGGTTACCGTTCTCGTCGAACCCGTCGCTTGCGACGAAGGGCTCGACGAGTAAATTTACCCATAGACACAGCCCACTGAGTTTCTCGCCGGATCTTCTCAGTTTGTCGCGTTTCCGATCCGGTGGTAGATTCTGCGAAGCAGTGCTCTTGCTAGGGCCAATGTTAGTAACACACCCGGCCTGAGCCCCGTGACTTCACCTAAACGTCAAGGAGAAACTGAAATAGCCTCTCAAGGCTAACAGCATAGGTAGGGAAAAAAAGTAAAAAAAGAGTATCGTCATAAAATAGGATCTGTGGGTTGGCACGATTAAATCGTGCTATGAAAAGAGTTTTAATTCCGCTACCGGCTTCAACTTGGACCCAAAAATGGTAAAATCGAGTGTTTTTCTAGCTTCTCAGTCTTATCTGCTTTAAAAAATTTTGATTAATTGTCTTCAAAGTGACACATTACTGTTTTAGGGCAGAAATAAGAAATATAATACATATACCTAAGACTTTCTGTAAACGTATTCAAATACTTAATCTGTTATACACGGTAGAAATGGATTAAAG